CCTTTGGGAAAAAACTACAGTGGGTACTCGCAAGCAGACTTTCTCCAAGACCACCATAGAAGAGTGTGAGTGCATCGATAAGAAAGGAGGGGTTGGCAACAATTCCACTATCTCTCAACTGATTGAAGCTCAGAATCTTGCCAATGAAGAGATAAGGAAGTTGAAGGCACGAAATGTTATTCTTGAGGGACAGCTTAGTCAGGCCCAGGAGGCACCTGGTTCCAGCAGTACACAAGGCGCAGAGGTTGCCCGTCTAACCAAGAAAAATGCTGATCTCAGGAAACAGGTCGAGGACCTGAAGGAGAGTTTGCTTAATGAGCAAGTGTCAGCAAATGCTCGAATGGATATCCTCCTTAGAACCCTTGCCTCTTCATCACTTCCTCCCCCCTTCCAGTGCTCCTTAAAATCGTTCCCTTCCCAGTGTCCAGTTCAAGTTGTATGTCCTCTGTTTTGGTCCTTTTATTTTGCTGTGTTTAGTGGATGGTACCTTTTTAGTTGTTTTATTTTGTGAATGGCCTTGTAACAAATGGTACTGCTAATTCTACTCCCTTTTATGAACAATTTATGAGAATCTCGTCCTTTTTACTATGTATGCTATACTCTTATGCTATATTTTTAGCCATGTTTGTGCACACACATGTGGCATGAGTTAATCATGCTAGACTTCTTTTTGCTTATTACTTGTGAATAATCTTTTTATGATGCCAAAAGGGGGAAAATTAATTGAAGGGGAACAAGTTCAGGGGGAATATAGGACATACTGTGGTACTTTGGTTCTTTGGCTCTCAGGGGGAACTGTTCTCAGGGGGAACTTCTATTACAAGTTTGTCATCATCAAAAAAGGGAAAATTGATAGGTTATGTGCCCTGTTATGTTTTGATGATCTAACAAACTTAATGATGAGAACCAGATGGGGAACTTGTTACACATCCTCAAAGTGCTCAAGAACAATAAGTATCAAGTAAGACACAAGTTCCAACAATCAGAGTCAAAGAGGCGATAGGAGGAACAAATGAATATCAGTTCCCTTATTGACTGTACCAGTCTACTGCTTACAGCTGCAAAGTTGCTGCAACTGTTCCTCTACATACACGCAATAATGTGACCAGTGCAACAACCACCTTCTAGGACATGCCTTGTACCAGATATTGCTTGCATAATCCAAGTGACATCACTTGTGCAATATTAACATGAAGCAAAGGAAAAACAATATACTTGCATATTCCAGAATTAATCAAGCTTCCTCTCAAGTGTGTTGGCGACTTGCAAGTGATTTTCGGGCTTCAAGAACAAAGAACAACATGACGAACGACCAGTTTCCAGCATTGTATTATTATGTGTCCCTAGTTGTGTTGTACCTTTGTTAGTGTGATTTACTTGTAAATCCTACTTAGCTTAGCTAGAAGCATTGTGTAGGAAACCAATTGTAAAATCATAAGCCTTGTGTTTGTGTCTTGGCTAGAGTTAGTTGAGTTATAAACTTTGTAATAGAGTTATTACAAAGAGGCTTGTAATAGAGTTATTACAAGTGAGTGATGGATTAAGAGTTTAATTCCTAGGTTACAATATGTTATAATCTAAAAGTTGCTCGGTTAGTGAAGTTGAAATCCTACGAGTGTAGGTCGTGATTTTTAATCCCGTGAACTGGGAGTTTTCCACGTAAAACTCCGTTGTGTCATTTACTTATCACTTTGTGTGTGTTTTGTGGGAACGGATAGAGAACCCGGTTCTCTATACAGTTTGGTGTACCCTAAGTTTCTATCGGTGGTACAATCAGAGGGGGCAATTATATATTATCCCTTGTATTTTCCCAAGCTATGATGACATATTGACAACCTAGAATCTCACAATATGTTTACGCTTGTAACACGATTACATTGTTCTCAAATGAGATAAATTCAAACACTTACCCCATTAAATTCACCCCAAGGGGGCTGTCCAGTAAACATCTCAATAACAGTACAACCCAGGCTCCATATATCGACAGCAAAGGCAAGCTCTGGATTGGTATCTTTCCGCAACATAGCCTCCATTACCTGCATATAAAGTGAAGGCCAAACATAAGTACAAGCCAACAAAGAGAAGGGAAAGGGAAAAAGCCAGGTAGTATCTGGAAAGAAGCTTAAGGATGCCTGCCTCTGGAGCCATCCAATGAGGGCTCCCTTTCAGAGAAAGATCAGTTGCACAGCTGAAAAGCTAGGAAAAGAGGAATGATGTAAAATTATAGCAGTAAGGGATGCATGAAAAAATAATTGATGAAAGATTCAGCTCATTCATATTAAGTGACAGGTTAGCGTTTACAAGAAAATACTAAAAACAGTAAATTACTTGAAAAAAAAGAAACTCTAGCATTTTCAGCTTGGCATTAGAATTCTGAAAGCTTACATGTTTTGCTAATCCAAAGTCTGCAAGCTTGACAACGCCACATGCATCTACAAGCAAATTTGCTCCCTTAATGTCCCTGCTCGGAAAAATCATTGAGACCAACCATTAGACTGAGCATCACTGCCAACGAAAAGTTTAAAAGAAAACAATTTTTTTTTTGTAAAGAGAAAAGGTTCTTCCTTGGTATAACATGGAATTGCAAGCCAGAGGCTTTAATGTTCCATTAATGAATCTTTAAATGAAGTGACATTTTCAACTTTAATGGAACCCAGTATCTACCTGTGTATTGTCTTAGTTCTGTGCAAGTAAGCCAGCCCTGATACAATATGCCTAGTAAAGTTTCGAACTATTGATTCTGTCATAGCTCCACAACGGTCCCGAACATACTTATTAATTGATCCGGGGTGCACATATTCCAAATATATGCAAAAGCGGTCCTCCATCTGAAATGCCAAAAGCATTTTATCTTTCAATATTCTGAAGAAATGCCTGAACATGGCAAAAGAACAAGAAAGATAGGTGTTCTTACTATTTCACTGCCATAATATTGAACAATATTTCGGTGCTTTAACTGCCTGAGAACTCTTATTTCCTACAACAGATGTAAGCAAGAAACTGAATTGATTTAGAATAGCATAAACTGGTGAAAAACACGCCATAATTGCAATCCAGTACAATGCTTCATCCTTTCAGAAATCTAGAATGTGATAAACTGTGTATAATAGATTGGAAAATACAGCAATATAAAACCTCAAATTTTATCCACAAGCCAGTTACCAACATTCCGAGAAAAAAATCTAGCTGATGAAAACGTGAAGGAGGTTTACGAAGTCAAAGAATATGGTCAACAAAAGTAGCTCTATGGATACATTATTGATTTTGCATCTTCAGGCACATGATAGTTATCTCAAAGGACCTTGATTTGACTAATTTGCTAATGCACGTTAGAGAACCAGGAGGTAGTATATAACATGCTTATTACTTATTTAAAGTTCACTTCATTTCACTTACAAAAGATTTGACCTTTAAAATATGTTTTCTCTCGCCGTGTAACTCAAAAAATTGTAATTTACACACAATTTTTATTATGTAGACTAAGAAGGCATGAGGAAGTCACCTGTTCTAACTGCTTTATACATTCAGCTGATTTAGGATCATCAGGAGTAAGATCGACTTCTTTCATTGCACATAAAGCACCGGTTTCACTGTCAAAAGGGAGAAAAAGAAACAGAAGCGAATGTTACATTCCTACCAAATTACTTATTAAGCAAACTTTATTCTTTACCGGTTGGTAGCTTCATATACACTTCCATATGTACCACGACCTAAAAGCTTCCCCTTTAGCCATTGACCCTTTGTTGGTGATACACATGGTTTATCCATATTGCTTTGAATGGTACATAATTCTGGTTGTCTTGGAACTCCTGGTGGAAGGGGTAGCGGGTGCACATCGATGTTATTAGCTTCAGTCCAAGCCAGAGAACTTTCCGGAAGAGATTTATGATGAGAATGCACAGCACTAATTCTGTGATTCCTGGTTCTATTAACTGGATTTGGTAATGTTGGGCTACTTAGTGGAGAATGATCAGCACTGTATATAACCCTTGTGGGTGAAAGTTGGAAAGAGTACTGAGCGTCTGAAGGTGATGACGGCTGATGAAATGGAGGATGGAAAAGGTCCTGTGTGCTAAACCTTTTTGGGCTTGGGACGGGGCTTGTAAAACCACTACCTGGAGCACTTCTAGCAGGAACATTCAGCCTGAATTCAACACCCTCGGCATTCAGATCCTGAGGGAACCACCTACGCCGATAAGTCGGAGTAGATGATCTTGGATGCTGAGAACTTGTCACCTCAGCTGGAGTTCGATCAGAAGTATCCCTGCAATTTGCAACAGGTTAACAGTTCTGCATTCATTTTTTGTTCTTACAAACTCATCATAGCTAATCAAACATTGTTACCGAAAAACAAACTAGCACACGTAAAATTATCATTAGATATTAAACGTCCTTAATATCTAATGTTGAGGAGATTAAATAAACAAATTCAAATTTGAACCAACTACTTACGATTTCTTCATGACTTTGCACACGAGTTACTCTAAGGGTCTGTTTGGAATGACATCCTATAAAATGTAATTATTTCCGGGAAAAATTAAATATTAATGATTAATAATAATATTTGCAAATCAAAGAGTGCTTTAATGAAACTTTTGAGTACTAGAGATTAAAAATAATGATTAATGTCTAAGTGTTAGTTGAGGCAATTAATATGAAGTTGAAAGTTAAAATTATTTTAAGGAAAATGACTTCCGCCTATTAGTGATGGAAGTCATTTTCCACCAAACACCAAAAAATAACTTCGAGTGTGTTTGACTAAGGTTATAAGCTGGTCAAACTAGCTTATAACCACATTTTGATTTATCTACGAGTTTGGTAAACACTCAAAGTACTTATAAGCCAAAATCAGCCATAAGTCATAGGCTGGTCACCCCCTAACTTATCATTTTTCAACTTATAAGTACTTTTAGTTTGACCAAGATTTCTACTATTTTATCCTTAATAATATTTTTAACTCACCGATCAATATTATTGGGCCACTATGACCCAGTGTCTTGGTTGACTACTTTTAGAGGATTATCAGCTTTCTGCTAGTTCGGTTTTCTTTTGAAATTTCTCTGTTATACTTTTTTTTTTTTCTGATTCATCAACCCGAATAAGCCAAATCCATTTCTTGGTTTTGATCTTCATACATCCTCCTTTATTATCTTTCTTTATTCTCCTGATCTCATCATCCGCCGGAAACTCGTTGTTAGCCACGCGGAATACATCCCACGTTTCCCCTTCCTCCGCCAACATTCTCACGAATACACCAAAATAACCGCTGTATTTCTTTTTCACGTATTCTGAATCCTCTGCACATAATAGAACTGCAAATTTGCCAGCGAATTCCAGATTTCGGAGAAGAGAGGCATAAAAAATAGGGTTCTTTTATTTTGGTCCATTTTCAGATTTCTTGGTGGGTCCAAATTCTAGAGAAAGCACAAAATATTCGAAGTTTCTTCTTCCTATTTGAACGAGAAATACATAGAGTATTGCTCCAGTTCGTCGCAATCCATCACCGCCGACCAGATTTCCGTTAACTTCAAGGGCTGCAATTCAGGTTCTATTGTTACTCTCTTGTCTTGATATTTTAATAATTTGATATTTTAGCGTAATTGTATCTCCTTGCTTGCCTATTTGTTTTCTTGAATCTTTAGTTAGTATTCGCCCTAGCATTGTCAAATTAATTGCATTAGTGATATCTTTGCCTACTTGTTTATATTGTTATCTACCCGTTTATATCTTTATTTTGAATCTTTATTTCAAATATCCCCTAGTAGTTATGTTCTAGTTTTGTACATTTTCTTTGTGACTTTTAGTTGTAGATTATAGTCCCCTTTAGCTCTTATATTTTATTTCTTTACCTATTTTTCTATCCTTTACTTGTAGATTATAGTTCCTTTAGTTCCTTTATTTTTTTTCTTTACCTGTTTTTCTATCCTTTAGTTGTAGATTATAGTTCATTTGTTTTATTTTTTTACCTGTTTTTCTGACCTTTAGTTGTAGATTATAGTTTTCGTTAGTTCATTTATTTTATTTCTTCACCTGTTTTGCGACCTTTAGTGGTAGATTATATTTCGATAATTCATTTTATTTTTATCGCTTGTTTTTGGGATAGTGCTTCCGTAGTGATTCCTAGATTATAGTAGCTTTGGTGAACGATGATAGGGTAAGGTCTTGTCCTCGAAGGGTAAGGGGGCTAAGAGAGCTACTAGGCTGAGAGTGGGGTCTTGGAACATAAGAACTTTGACAAGAAAATCTGTAAAGTTAGCGAAGATTCTCGAAAAAAGGAAGATTAATATAGCTTGTGTATAGTAGACTCGATGGGTAGGATATAAGGCACGGGATGTGGGCAGTTTTAAATTTTGGTATTCTGGGAGGGTGGGGGCAGGAACGGGGTAGGTATCTTGATTGATAAGGACCTCTGTGAACTAGTGGTGGAGGTTAGGAGGGTGAATGACATGCTGATGACTATTAAGTTAGTTGTTAGAGGTTTTATGTTGAACATAATCAGTGCGTACGCACCCCAATCAGGCTTGGATGAGGAAGTCAAGAGGCATTTCTGGGAGGATTTGGATGAGATGATGTGTGGTATCCCACATACCGAGAAGCTTTTCATATGAGGAGATTTCAAAGGCCACATTGGAGCGACGTCTGGAGGATATGGTGATGTACATGGTGGCTTTGGGTTTGGAGATAGAAACGGAGGAGGAACATCTCTGCTAGACTTTGATAGAGCATTTGATTTGGTGATAGCAAACTCGAGTTTACCGAAGAAGAGGGAGAACTTGGTCACCTTCTGAAGTTCGATAGCTGAGACTCAGATTGAGTATTTACTCTGCAGAAAGTCAGATAGAGGTTGGATTGTAAGGTCATCCCGAGTGAGAACCTCTCGACCCTTCATAGGCTCCTCGTCATGGACCTTCAGATCACGAGGAAGAAGAGGAAGAGGGCGATGTATAGCCAACATAAGATCAAGTAGGGAGCCTTGACAGGAGCTAAAGCGCAGGAGTTAGGAGTCAAGCTGGTGGCTATGGGGGCTTGGAGGAGTAGTGGGGACGCAAGAGCTATGTGTACCATGACTGCCCAGTGCATTAGGAAAGCCGCGAGAGAGGTATTAGGCGTCTCAAAGGGTTACTTTAGTGGTCACAAGGGAGACTGGTGGTGGAATGGAGAGGTGCAAGGAAAAGTGGAAACCAAGAAAGCAACATATCTAAAGCTAGTGAAAAGTGTAGACGAGGAGGAGAAGAGGGCGAATAGGGAGCATTATAAGTTGGCTAAGAAAGAGGCAAAGCTAGCAGTTACGGCGGCTAAGAATGCAGCTTTTAGTCATTTGTATGAGGAACTCGAGGGCCGAGGTAGGGATAAGAGGTTGTTCAGGTTAGCCAAGGCGCGAGAAAGGAAGGAACGAGACTTGGACCAAGTGAAGTGCATAAATAAAGAAGAAGGTAGAGTTTTGTTGGATGAGGGACTTATCCGTCGGAGATGGCAGACCTACTTCCATAGACTATTGAACGAGGAGGGGACGAGAGCATTTTACTAGATGATTTGGAACTCTCCGGGAGTCGTTGTGACTTTAGGTATTGTAGGCGGATTAGAGTTGATGAAGTTGAGGGGGGCTATGTGTAAGATGAGCAAGGGCAAATCGATCGGGCCGGATGAAATCCCGGTGGAGTTATGAAACAGTGCGGGAAAGGCAAGTCTGAAGTGGATCACTAGGTTATTTGATGTCATTTTTAGAACAAAGAAGATGCCCGAAGAGTGCAAGTGGAGCATAATAGTTCATGTATACAAGAACAATGTTGATATCCAAAATTGCAATAATTATCAGGGTATCATGCTGCTTAGCCATACTATAAAAGTCTAGGAGAGAGTGGTAGAGCTAAGGGTGAGGAAAAGTGTGTCTATTTTCGAGAACCAGTTTGGATTTATGCGGGGGCGTTCGACTACAGAAGCCATCCACCTTGTTAGGAGATTGATGGAGCAGTATAGGGAGAGAAAGAAGGACTTGCATATGGTGTTCATCGACTTAGAAAAAGGCGTAAGATAAAGTTCCGAGGGAGGTTTTGTAGAGATGTTTGGAGGCTAGAGGTGTACATGTTGCCTACATTAGGTTGATTAAGGACATATATGATGGAGGAAAGAACCGAGTCAGGATGGTGGGTGGGGACTCAAATCATTTTCCGATTATGATGAGGTTGCATCAGGGGTCGACACTCAGCCCTTTTTTGCTTGCTCTGGTGATGGACGTACTGACGCGACACATCCAAGGGGAGGTGCTGTAATGCATGCTATTTGCAGATGATATTGTATTGATTGATGAGACGCGAGATGATGTGAACGCGTAATTAGAGGTATAGAGGTAGACCCTGAAATCTAAAAGTTTCAAGTTGAGAAGGACCAAGATAGAATACTTAGAGTGTAAGTTCAGTGGCGAGACTCAAGGAGGGAAAGGGGAGGTGAGAGTGGACTCGCAGGTCATCTCTAAGAGAAGGAGTTTTAAGTACATTGGGTCTATTATTCAGGGGGATGGGGAGATTGATGAAGATGTCACACATCGTATTGTGGAGGGATGAATGAAATGGAGACTCGCTTTCGGTGTTTCGTGTGACAAGAAGGTACCACCGAAACTTAAGGGTAAGTGCTACAGAGCGATGGTCAGACAAACGATGTTGTATGGGGCTGAGTGTTGGCCAGTCAAGATCGCTCATGTCCAGAAGATGAAGGTAGTAGAGACGAGGATGTTGAGATCGATGTGCGGGCACACTAGATTAGATAGGATCAGAAATGAGGTTATTCGCGACAAGGTTGGTGTGGCCCCTATTGAGAACATGATGCGGGAAGCGCGACTTAGGCGGTTTGGTCATGTGAGGAGGAGGAGCACAGACACCCCGGCGAGAAGGTGTGAGAGGTTGACATTGGAGGGCCTATGGAGAGGTAGAGGTAGGCCAAAGAAGAGGTGGAGAGAGGTGATTAGGCAAGACATGACGCAACTTCAACTGGCCAAGGACATGACCCTTGATAGTAGGGTATGGAGGTCGAGGATTAGGGTAGTAGAGTAGGTAGTCTAGAGTGTTCATAACAGTAGTATTGGTACGCAGTCTCGCTTTTTGTTGGTAGTAGATATTTATGACTAACCATTATTTTCTTTCATTATTGATCACCTTACTGTCTTGTTGTTTTTATTCTGCTTTTATATGGCTTTTTGGTATTGTCCCTTCTTGTCTATATTTTTATTAATGTGATGCTTATACTTTCCTGAGCCGAGGGTCTATTGGAAATAACCTCTCTATCCTCACAAGGTAGGGGTAAGGTCTGCGTACACACTACCCTCCCCAGACCTCACAAAGTGAGATAATACTGGGTATGTTGTTGTTGTTGTTGCAATATTTTTTAACTCACAAAATACCTTTCCCAAAATAAAATTTTTATTTTTCTGTTCATTCCATACTATTCCTCTTTTTTTTTACGAAAAAAACTTTTTAATTTATAATATTTTATAAAATTTTAAGGGTATTTTAGTCAGTTTAATATAAGAAAGCTTATGAACATTTTTTATTAAACACATCAATTACTTATTATCAATTTCAGCACTTTCCAAATACATAACTGTTTAGTTATAAAATCAATTTCAGCAAGTGCTTTTCAACAATTCGAGCTTATGAGCTATTTGCAATCAGCTAAGTCAAATGAGCTCTTCCTCATGAAAAACATTTTGTGGAAGTCTTTTTCCCTCAGTACCAAACACACCCTAAACTGAAAAGCTTTCATCTTTAGAACGAAAACACTTACCACTTAGGGCGTGTTTGGTACGAAGGAAAATATTTTTCAAATTTTATGTTTGGTTGACTTAAATGTTTTGGAAAATATTTTCCTCATCAACTCAAATGTTTTCCCCATTAAAAGAAGGAAAAATATTTTCCAAATCTCTTTTTTAACCTTCTCCACCCTGTTCCCCATCCCACCAATCTCCACTAACCCACTCCACCCCCAAACCACCACCCTACCCATCCCCCTACCCCCGCACCCACCCACCTCTTTCATTTCAACAAAACGAATATTTTTTTTTATGATGTAAAAATATATTTTCTTTTATTTCAACAAAACGAGTAATTTATTTTCATGATTTAGAAAAAGTATTTTTCTTTTATTTCAAAAAACTAAGTATTTTTTTTACTGAAATAAATAAATTATTTTTTTTAATAAAATGAGTACTTTCTTTTGGTGACGTAGCAAAAATATTTTCTTTCATTTAAACAAAACGAGTACTTTCTGCACTCACCAACCAAACAAGAAAAAATAAGTAATAAAATCACTCATTTTTTAGTAAAACATTTTCCTTTGTACCAAACACACCGTTAATCCCAAACTAATTGAAATAGGCTAAATGAATCCTTCTTGAGAACAATACTAACCTTGCAAGAGGAGGGCTTATATCACTGTCAACTCTAACCGTCAAATTAGAGTCAACCGTTAAATTCTGTTTATTGAGCTCAGGAAGCGGCAACGGCAGTGGCACAGGGGAGGACGTGGACCAGTGACGGAGGTGGTGGGGCGACCGAGAACCCGACCCGAAATCCGCATAAAACTCAGGAGAAACCGGTAAGGATTTCGAACGCTCATCAATAATTAAGGACTGAATATTGAGGCCCCATAAACGAAGCTCATCATCACTAACATGCCGCAATTTGCGTTGCCTTGTCAGCCTCCTTCCACCGCCGTAAATCCGACGTGTATTAGGTGAATCTGTAGGAGAAGTAGTACTAGTTGAAGGAGAAGAAGAAGAAGAGTGGGAACTTGATGATAGTGAAAATGCTTTCCATATATTCGGCATTTTTCAGTGCAATACAGAGAAGAAAAGAAAGAAAAAGGGGTTGGAGTTTTTGCTGATGATGTATTTAATGAAGTAATGCATTGAAGAGACCGCGGAGTCATACGTACTCATACGAAAACTTTTTGTATTTTGTCAATGTTTGAATCTTTGTAATAAAAAAGGATGGTTTTAATTTTAATTCATTAATGTTGCTGGAAGTCAGAAACACGATTTCTTCTGTTGTATAAAGTCAAAATTTTGTTTTAGTTTAGAGTATATTTTTTGAGTATACGTGTGTAAATATCTTATGAAGTGAAGGGATTTTCCAATTTTCCTGATATTATGAGGTCAAGGTTGACACTTGACAAAGAGCGTGTTTGTGTTGAGAACTCAAAACGTACGCTGAAAACGATGACATGCTCTGTAGACTGTATATGCCACTTATCTGGCTCAGTCCCGTTCCCTTCTTGACAAGTTTTTCCAAAGTTTGACATGGTAAGTGGGGCTGGGGCGGATCTTGAGTGTCCTTTATGATTCAGCTAAGTAACTTTTCAGATTTTATATATGTAGTAAAAAAATATTATTGTATATTGTTTTTTATTTTAATATATGTGATACACTTTATTTTAAATTTGTTTCAGAAAAATAATATTTTTATATTTAAGAATAGTTTAATTTTAAGCTTTTCTTACGGAGTTGTGGTTCGACCAACTATGTTGTATTCGCTGAGTGTTGGTCAATGAAGAACTCTCATGTGCAGAAGATGAAAGTAGTTGAGATGATGATGTTGAGATGGATGATTGGATGTACCATGAGAGATAAGATTAGGAATGAGGTTATTCCGGACAAAGTGGGAGTGGCCTTCGTGGAGGACAAGATGCGGGAGTCGAGACTGAGATAGTTCGGGCATGTTAAGAGGAAAAATATTGATGCTCGTGTTAGGAGGTGTGAGAGGTTGGCCATGGCGGGTTTGAGAAAAGGTCGAGGTAGGCCAAAGAAGTACTGATCAGAGGTAATTAAGCAGAACATGACGTTGTTCCACCTTATCGCGGACATGACCCTTGATAGGAAGATGTGGAGGTCGATGATTAGAGTAGAAGATTAGTAAGTAGTTGAAGTTTCTCATTTTCTTGCCAATAGTATTAGTAACATTCATGTCCCTTCATATTCTTAGATTTATATTATGTCATGTTGTGTATTCTCTTCAATAATCGTATTTCCCTGTTGTTACTACTTATTCTTTCTCCCTATTTTTCTCCTCCTCCTCCTCCTCCTCCTTCTTCTTCTTCTTAGCCGATAGTCTAATGAAAATAGCCTCTTCATCTTCATTAGGTAGAGGTAAGGTCTGCGTGCGTACATACTACCTTCCTCATACCACCTATGAAAATATACTGGGTTTGTTGTTGTTGTTAGGGGTGTTCGTCGGTCGGTACGGTACGATACGGTATTTAGATATTTCGGTTCGGTATTTTCGATATTCGATTTCTTAAAATGCAATACCAATACCGTACCTAAGTAAATTCGGTATGGTTCGATTTTTCTCCTTTCGATTTCGGTTTATTCGGTTTGGTAACTTCGGTTTGAATACTAACTCATGCATAAAGTCATAGACTGTAATATTCTAAATTGAAGTACTCAAAAGTACAAAACTAAAAATATTTGTTAATAAAAATTTTGTCCAAAACTAGCAAATATCAACCCAGAGAGAGAAAACTGTACATAAAAGAATAAATTTGATCATTAGAAATGTCTCGTTACTTTCTTAGAGTTAATTGATGAATTTAGATAATAATGGAAAGTAAAATTTTAGATTTTTATATTTATATTATAATTAATAATATGTGTATTGTGTAATATAATATATATTTCGGTATGGTATCGGTATTTCGGTATTTTATTTTAAAATACCAAATACCATACCTAATATCAATATTTTTTAAAAACCAAATACCATACCGAATACAAAATACCAAAAAATTTCGGTACGTTAATTCGGTATTTACCAAATTATGCACAGCCCTAGTTGTTGTTGTTATTGTTGTTGTTAATTTTAAGCTTTTTATTTACCTTAATAAGATAATTTATAGCAATAAATATTTATGCTTGTTTTAGACCATAAATTTTAAAAAAAAATTATTTCTTTTTTCTAGTCAAAGTGCATCATATAAATTAAAATAGGAGTAACTTGAGATCGATGCAAGAACTTATAAACTTTAAATTCTGGATATGTCTCCAATGGACAGTGATGATAGGTTTTAGTAGAGTAATTACAACAACAACAACAATAACCCAGTAGAATCTCATTAGTGGGGTTTGAAGAAGGTAGAATGTACGCAGACCTTACCCAGGGGCGGCTCAACAAATCTCGGGGCCTAGGCCCTTAATCCCAGTATAATCCTACTATTGAGATCTGGGGAGGGTAGTTTGTACACAGACCTTACCCCTACCCTGGAGTAGAGATGTTGTTTCCGATAGACCCTCGGCTCCCTCCCTCCAAGAACTCCCCACCTTGCTCTTGGGGTGACTCGAACTCATAACCTCTTGGTTGGAAGTGGAGAGTGTTCACCACTAGAGCAACTCACTCTTGTTAAATATACTAATTAACGAGGGAAGAAAATTATCATAATTTATAAATTTATTGTATAAAATAACCTCAATCAAGTAACAAAAAATATATTGTAACATTTTTTTTATTTTAATTATTTATATAAATTATATAATATATAATAATAACAATAATAATAAGAATTTAAAATAAATTTGGAGGCCTAAGACAATGGACTCACTACCCAAAGCCTTAGAGTCGTCCCTGACCATACACCTGCCCGAAGGTTAGAGAAGTTAGTTTTAGGGAGACCCTTGACTTACAGCAGTGGAGTAATTAATGAAGTAGATAAGTTGATAGCACTAGTAATAAAATATTAATGGTCGAAAATAAAAGTAATAAAATATTCATGGCAACGCGTAAAGTAGGAAGCAAAGTAAGGTAGAGGGACAGAGTGGAGCTCTCAGTCATTGCCACTTTGACACTTCAACACTCTGTTTTTACTTCAAGTTCTGAGTTTGTTCGTTACCATTTGATGAAAGCCGTCCTGCCGTTACGACCCAGTCAGCTGGTGCTTGCATTATTTAAGACTTTACTGATAGTGTTGCACAATTAGAAAGTATTCACCGACGATATCATTTTAAAAAATTAATAAATACGATGTAAGTTACACAATTTTTAAAAACTAATTTCAGTAAGTAGTTACGTTAGGTATGTGCAGCTAGCTAACATATGAAAGCAAGTTTTACCTACAAAAAGTGAGTTAAACAATATATATATATATATATATATATATATACCCTTTAAGCAAATACTCTACAATAACATTTTTGGACAAATCTACATACATCTTTCTTCATTACTTTCATTGTTATTACACTCCTTTAAGTAACATGAATTTTCACATTAAGTTCGGTTAATTTAAATCTGAAAGCAAATAAAAAGGCAATTATCAATTAATTTATATTTATATTTTATAATTATATATAATTGTGGTATTAATCAGGGTGATGTGGCATCACTAACTTTTAAAAATCACCTTTAATTCCTATTAAAATCTCAAAAGATACTAAAAAGTAATGGATAACCGTTCTAATTAATGGATAAAACCGTTTTAACTAAGTAATAATCATGTTTTTTTAACTTGGAAGCTAAAAGCCTCAGCAGTTTGCCTTATCATTTAAATATATAAAAACAGAGGCAAGAAACTCTATGCTTTAAGTAGAGGAAAAATAAGATGGGTTGGAGCCTAAGAAAAATGAGAGTGGAAGACATAAAAAGGGACGGTGAAAAGAAGATTAGGTTGATCAGGAAGTAAACTTATAGGAATGAACTTTTGAACTTCTTTAAGATTTGCAAGAGTCGATGATCATCACAGTTTAACAAGATTGGTTCCATAATCATCTTTTACACATGTTAGAAACTGGGCGTTTTAATTCTTGTCTTGATATTATCCCATCTAATCTGTCACGACCCAAAATCCTAACCCGTCGTGATGACGTCTAACATGGTACTAGGCAAGCCGACTTCTCACAAACATTTCCAACACTTTTAGCAAGAATGAATTAAAACAGATTTAATAGCAAGAGTTCTCATAAACGGGATAGAAACCCAATACATAACGCGGAATTCCCAACTATCGGGGTGTCACAGAGTACATGACCATCTATACATCACAAGTTTGAAAAACACGGTCTATAATAGTCTGAGATAAAATACAATAAGTAAGAAGATAGGGAAGGAGAGACAAGGTCTGCAAAACACCGGCAGCTACCTCTGAATCTCCGGAAAATCAAATGTGCGAAGGAATCAACACCCACTGTATCCGGGAACACCTGGATCTGCACATGAAGTGCAGGGTGTAGTATGAGTACAATCAACTCAATAAGTAACAAGACTAACCTCTGGGCTGAAAGTAGTGACGAGCTCAATAGGTACAATCTAGTACAGAAATAATAGTACAGAAATGTAGGCATGCTTTCCAGTTCAACAGTTAAACTCAGTACAGGAAAAATAGATAAAATCGGCATGATATGAGGAATATGACATATCTATATCTACATGCCAAAGTATATGTTGTATATGATGTACCACNAGATCCATCCCTCAATATAAATGCTTCGGGCAAGATCCATGCCAAGGGAAGATCCATCCCTCAATATAAATCAACCGCGCTCACTATGGGGGGTGCAAACTCCGGAGGGACTCCTTCAGCCCAAGCGCTATAATAGCCAGATCCAGGCATAAATAAATATAATATGTTGTGGCATGCAACCCGATCCCATAAATATCACTCAAAATCTTCAGTCTCTCGGGCTCTCAATGACATGAAGATCAACCCGACATGATGATATGATGTATCAATGAATGGCAACAGAGACTGAAATATGATATGCAAATGATAGATGTGACTGAGTACAAAAATTACAATTAAACAAA